GCTCCCTGGCGGAGCCGGACTTTCTTAAAAAATGACCTCGGCTCCTAGGTCGACCCAACATTGAGTGGGTACATCACCCATCTTGTGCAGATTGTTCTATAAAAATCTAGGTCTAGCCCTATATGCCCTATACGAAATCAAGTTTACAAAAGTGGGGGTGCGGGCTCAATGCTTCAACCCTCAACCTGGAGTATAAAAAGTTGTAAAACCACTTGTTTTTTGTGGCTCCCATACCTGGAGCACAGCTTAAAGAGACGACGCCTTAATAAACAGTTGCGAAAACAAAGCCTTACAATGAATCTTTCGAACCATCAGCGAATGCAAATAGCGGGAAATGGAGAGTGAGAAGCAACAAAGAAATTCATAATCTGTTTACATCACCACTGATCACTGGTACCATGAGAGCTAAAAGACTGAAATGAGGCATATTGAGAGAAGGTCATATTCAGAGAGAAAGAATACACAAGGTCAGATGAACAGTCAAACCATACAGACCAAGCAAATGGAGACTGTATCCACACCTGCAAACACTGCTGAGCTGAAAAGAGAAGGCAGTCAAACCAGCATTCGAGGGCTCGGACCAAGAAGACAATGGAGAGAATAATGTCCAATAACAGATTAATAATAATGCAAAACAATAATGGTGTCACCAATAATGAAAAGAATAATAATAATAATATTAATAATAATAATAGAGAGAATCAAATGCTGGCGGGTGATATAACAATAATAAAGGAACAATAATAATAATAGGGCTAATAATAATATTCATAATAATAATAATAATAATAATAACAATAATAATAATAATATTAATAATAATAATAATAATAATAATATTAATAATAATAATAATAATAATAATAATATAATAATAATAATAATAATAATAATAATAATAATAATAATAATATTATTAATAATAATAATAACCCAATATGGATTAAAATCCCAAAACAAAACTCTAGCAAATGGCTATCGCAGCTTCCGCTAAATGTCTGACAAACTTTAAGGATTTCAGTCTGTAGGATTAACACCTCAGGGATGAGAATCAAACAGGTAACATTCCGCAAAATTCGTTCAACCTTATAGACATCCAATACAGTTATATTGCACCACCTCAAAGTGGTATGTCTGGTGTGTTTGAATCGCAAACAGCTGAACCAACTTGTATTTACTTACGCTCCAACCCTGTCACTTTGTAACGCACTATGGTCATAGCCTCCTCACTGTCAGCTAGAAAGACTGGACCGAGTACAGAATGAGGCCATGAGACTCATACTCGGCTGCACAAAAGACACCTCGTGTAATGGCATGCGTTATGTCCTGGGTTTGCAGACTATGACTAGAAGATACAAAGTGGCACAGGTCAAGGCGCACAAAGCTATACACGACACCAAAGGAACGCTTCTCAAAAGAGGCCGCTCCTGGTTGGCAAAGGCTGAGGATTTAATCCAGCAGGTTTGTGCCCTGGACATGACCAGTTACAGAGAAGAATTGTAGACATACATGGAATCTCTAAGGTTGTCATCACACTCGGTAGGTACTGCAGGGATCAAATTCCTGCTGCCGTAGACACAGAGGTAAGGGAACTGACAGATCATCATTCAGACCCAGAAGATATCATCATCTACACAGATGGATCCGTGAAGCGCGGATCAAGGTCAGCATGGGCATACACAGCGCAAAGAATGGGAAAAACAATACAGGAGGACAGCGGCGCTTACCAGACAACCAAGTCAATCATGATTATGGAAAAAGCTGCTGCTTCTTTTAGAGCATTAACATAGGTATCCGAGCAAACAGCCACACAAACAGTAATTGAATCAGACTCCATGAATATGCTTCAGAAGATAGCAACAGACGGTATGCGCTCTGAGTGGGTAGAAAGGTTAGTTGCGTATCCTGTACAGGGCGTTACAGAACCAACCCCAACAGCTCCTGGCTGTTGTGTTGTTTTTCCAGGCAAATTTACGTCCAGTAGTTTGCATTGCTTACTGGACGGTCGGCTTTCTTGATACCACAGTCGAAACCAACGCAAGGCGCATGGCCCGGGGCTGGGATCGAACCAGGCACCCCGGCCTTACGAAGCGCTCGCATCGACTTAGCCACAGAGCCGACGAATGGGTAGAAAGCATTCGAAAATCGCACTTAACCTCCCTGACCTGGATCTACACACGTGGTCATGCGGGCGTAAAGGGAAATGAGCGAGCGGACCAATTGGCCAGCACTGCACTAAGGCATGTGGCAAGAAGCATGGACAGAGCAGATATTGTCAATGCTGTACGGACTGGGCTAGTGGATAATGAGAAATCCCTGACACTAACACGATTGCGTGACATATGAGTAAAGCATGGTGGAGCACGTCTATGCCGTCTTCGAGGTCGAGATAGGAGACAACAGAACCAGCTTCTCATGGAAACAATTAGTAGAGGTACTTTGGAGTGGCTGCTGCTTCGGAGGACTGAGCACGCATGGGAATGTCAAATGTGCAGTGACGTCGATTGTGATAAGATAACATAACATAAAATAACTTGGTAACGCATGTGTGCTTCAATACAACCCTTTCAACGGTTGAATGGGGTTTTGGGATATTTATCTGGGGAATCCTTATCCGTATAGTGGCTCTTCCAGCCACCGGGTGTTAAAGGCTCTGTATGCAGTCCTAGAAAGGATAAACTTCACTCACTCAAAAGAACTTCCATTCGATTGTCCTTAACCGCGCAGGACTACAGGCTATATCTAGCCTGCATAGCTGATGCATATTCCTCAATTATGAATTTTTTGTAGGTTGATACGGGTATCTGGGTTTTGCCTTTTCATTATGACATCTAGCATAGGACTCTTGAAATCTTGATGAGACCTTTAATCAGCAGTCCGTAGAGGGCAAGAACCGATTTACAAACCCTTTCATCTCTTTGTATCCAGTCTTTCTCATCTGAGGTCTTATGTGGCTTTTTGCAAAGCTAAGATTTGAAGAAAAAAATTCGTCACAGCGGTTGGAGTATGTCCGTAAACGCCCCGTCTCTAACTTCAGCAGCCTGTGCAGTCCCAAAACTAGAGGTACCGCTTGTGAGCTGCTTATATTAACGTCTTGCCTCTCCACTGAACATTGAGTGTCCAGCCGACCACAGCCAGCTTCAGCTGAGGGGCCGTGCTGCTGACGTCACCGAGTCGGGCTAACGATGCGTTAACGCATCGTTCGCCCGACCCAGTGACGTCAGCAGCAGGGCCCGTCAGTTGGAACCGGTAGTGAGTTGAACCTGTGTTACACCTAAAAACATCATTCTTCCAGGAACGAATAATCTGTTTGCTCTTCCGCTTTTTAATCCTCTGCGAACTGTTTTATTTTGAATAGCCTCCCCAGGTCATTGATTATTCTTTTCTGTCTTCGTTTTCTTCTCGTTCAGCGGCTGCATACTCCGGCAGATTGTTCTGGTTGTTCGCCCACCTTTGGAATTTAGTCTTATTCCAGAGCCTGAGTGTTGTGTGCATACGCGATTTACATATCTGGCTTTTTTTAATGAATTCTATTGGTTCCTTGCCCAAACAAACATGTCTTAAGAGTCGACTCATTGGATGCATCCTTTAAAGTCATAGTAGATCTGCTTGGGAGGCGAGGAACCAACAGTCTGCATACAAACAAGCCAAATATGCAAACATGTATGGACCATAGACAATAAAAACATAGCCAGGATTAATGAGAAAAAGGGGTTTTGAAAGATGTGTTTAAAAACAACAAACACAATAACACAATAAGGAGACAAACACTCATTTGTGAACATTTTCATTTCTTCTGAGTTCATTTTTAGTGCTTCATTGTGCTTTGAAGAAAAACGCCTCATTTGTGTAACATTTTCATTCTTTGTAATAGAACAGAAAAGAGCTATCAGTTCATTTTTAGTGCTCATTGTGCGTTTGTAAGTACCGACAAGATAAACGCCACACATAGATAGAAACACTGGCTACAAGTACAGACAAAAGACAGACAGACAGTTTCCAGACAGTCAGACAGACAGACAGACAATAGACAGACAGACAGACAGAAACAGACAGAGCTATCAAGGATAGGATAGATAAAAAGAAATAATTCAAGATAAATTATAGATAGATAGATAGATAGAAAGATAGTAGATAGATAGATAGATAGATAGATAGATACATAGTAGACAGACAGACCGACAGACAGACAGACAGACAGACACACAGACAGACAGACAGACAGACAGACAGACAGACAGACAGACAGACAGACAGACGGACGACGGACGGAGGACAGGACAGACAGACGGACGGACGGACGGACAGACAGACAGACAGACAGACAGACAGACAGACAGACAGACAGACAGACAGACAGACAGACAGACAGACAGACAGACAGACAGACAGACAGACAGACAGACAGACAGACAGACAGACAGACAGACAGACAGACTGACAGACAGACTATAGACCGATAGACAGGCTGAGGCGACCACAGTCCGAATGATAGCAGGACAGGCAGGACAGGCAGACAGACAGACAGACAGACAGACAGACAGACAGACAGACAGACAGACAGACAGACAGAATATGGGTCATGTTGGGATGCCAGTAAAAAAAGATCTGTATTAAACAACATTGAAATTTAGATATACCAATAAAGTGAAGCAAACACTTTGACAAAACAATTGTTGTCTATAAGAATTTAAATATGAGAGTGAATGAAAAATACAGAATTTATAAAAATACAGTTTATTACGTACAAGAGCCGATGATAGAAGATTGGTTAGGCTGTGATCTGCAAGCTAATTTTATATTCCAGACATCAACAATCTAATTAAATATTATATATCCAGTTTGTTTCTTTCCTATTCACGCGTTGCAATTTTTAAAACGTGGCCTCCACTGCACAATTCATCAAAAGAGATTTATAAGAGTTGAAATGTAAATTAAAAAAGGCAATTTCGTTATAAATTTTCCTGTAATTTAATAAATTAATGTAAATTAATTGTTCCTTATTGTTGCTCTGACTTTTGTTCTGTCTTGTTTTTGTCGCGTTTCATTCCTTTGAAGGTGGATCTCCAGTCCTGTAATCCGTCTGTGAAGTAGCGGCTGAAGGAACCGAATCTTTCAGGACTGAATCCCAACTGACGCTTAATGAAGCGATCGCTTTTGGCAGACGGATAGCCGTTAAGTGCGTATGCTTTGTCAGGCCCCATACGTTTGACCCAGTCTTGCCAATCCTGGAAGTAAGCCTTGCCCGAGCCTCTGAAATCAGATGAAGGAGATATAAAGTTCTGTCTCTTCACGACGTCTTCCCAGTTCTGAAGGCCTGTATTTGTACTAGGTCCGTGGCCGAAACCAGCACCGCCAACGTCATAAAATCGCTTGGAGATCCAGTCATTCCACTGCTGGAACTGCCCTTTGTCCAGATCACTAAAGCCTGTAAATGGAGTTTTGGTTCCGAGACCTCGCTTGGCCATCCAGTCCTGCCATTCCTGGAGCCTGGATTTATCGAACAACCCGAAGTTATCAGCGCCAGAAGGGATGGCTAATCCTCTCTTGGCGAACCACTCATTCCAGTTCTGGAAGGTACCAGGAGGTAGCTGACCAACGTCCCAGTGGTGACCGTCAAGGTTGCGCTTTGCCTGCCAGTCTTCCCAGGACTGTAAGTTATCCGTAGCCGAGAGGTCGTGGTCAAAGAGACGGGATCTAGCTGTCTGGGTTCCTGGGTTCAAACACAAACTGGGGGTGATGAGACAGATAGCAATAGCTAGCCTGATCCAGTAAAGTGCCATTGTTGTGTAGTTGCAAACGCTTGATCTGAAAGAAAAAACAAATCAGTTAAGACCACGACACAGCAAGACATGGAGCGCTCTACTCACTAGTTCAGTGTAAATTACCTCATACAAATTATCGTTTCTCGTAGACTGGAATATTTCATTCAACACTATAAATTTTTGCAGAGAACACCAAAGAAAGGTACGGTTCCTGGAAGAAATTCTGTGTTTATCTGAGTACAGATTTGGCATCACAGCATTCACAACAAACTCATATTCCACCCTTCCCCATACACCCATGTTTTTTTTTTTTCCTCTTTCAAAAGCCTGCGAATAGTTTTCATACCGTACCCGTTATCCTCTAGTTAATTACTTGTCTTGCCCAGATCTGGCAGATCAAATCAATTGCATCTTTCTCTTCAGGTACATGTTCTCAGGATCTTTCATTTTACTTGTTACCTTCCCCCACAGGTGAGAGACCACCTCTGCCTTGTACAGTTGCAGTACACTCCCCAGTGGAGCCAGCCAAACCAACCTACCTTCCTGCTCATTGTCAGACAGTGAGACTCAGACAACCTGTGACCTCTGGACTGATGCGGCCTATTCCATACACAACCTGTGACCTCTGGACTGACACCGCCTATTCCACACATCACCTGTGACATCTGGACTGATACCGCCTATTCCATACACCACCTGTGACATCTGGACTGATGCCGCCTTTTCCATACACCACCTGTGACATCTGGACTGATACCGCCTATTCCATACACCACCTGTGACATCTGGACTGATACCGCCTATTCCATACACCACCTGTGACCTCTGGACTGATGCCGTCTATTCCATACACCACCTGTGACCTCTGGACTGATGCCGCCTATTCCATACACCACCTGTGACCTCTGGACTGATGCCGCCTTTTCCATACACCGCCTGTGACCGCCGGACTGATGCGGCCTATTCCATACACCACCTGTGACCTCTGAAATGATGCGGCCTATTCCATACACCACCTGTGACCTCTGGACTGATGCGGTCTATTCCATACACCACCTGTGACCTCTGGACTGATGCGGCCTATTCCATACACCACCTGTGACCTCTGGACTGATGCGGCCTATTCCATACACCACCTGTGACCTCTGGACTGCTGCGGCCTATTCCATACACCACCTGTGACATCTGGACTGATGCCGCCTATTCCATACACCACCTGTGACATCTGGACTGATGCCGCCTTTTCCATAACCACCTGTGACATCTGGACTGATGCCGCCTATTCCATACACCACCTGTGACCTCTGGACTGATGCGGCCTATTCCATACACCACCTGTGACATCTGGACTGATGCTGCCTTTTCCATACACCGCCTGTGACCTCTGGACTGATGCGGCCTTTTCCATACACCACCAGTGACCTCTGGACTGATGCAACCTATTCCACACACCACCTGTGACCTCTGAAATGATGCGGCCTATTCCATACACCACCTGTGACCTCTGGACTGATGCGGCCTATTCCATACACCACCTGTGACCTCTGGACTGATGCGGCCTATTCTATACACCACCGGTGACCTCTGGACTGATGCCGCCTATTCCATACACCACCACTGACCTCTGGACTGATGCCGCCTATTCCATACACCACCTGTGACCTCTGGACTGATGCCGCCTATTCCATACACCACCTGTGACCTCTGGACTGATGCCGCCTATTCCATACACCACCTGTGACATCTGGACCGATGCCGCCTATTCCATACACCACCTGTGACATCTGGACTGATGCCGCCTATTCCATACACCACCTGTGACCTCTGGACTGATGCCGCCTATTCTATACCAATAAACCTTCATGAGCATACTCTGCGAGTCCGATAATATGATGTTTGTTTGTTTTAGTATCCAGAAGCCATGAGTAGTTAACTCTTAGGCTCGGTATTATGGATATCGCAACCTTTTGGCCTTGATTCCATTGTAAATACCGTAAATCTGGGAGAAAATGTGGCTTTCCTGCCTACCCCCGGGAGTGATCCTGGACCACAAGGAGTTCGTCACCCGGTCTCCGCGCAATCTGGTTTAGCCAACTACGCTAGAGAGCCGGGCTTGATAATATGATAAAATATGTGGCTGAGATTTTCTCCACATCAGAAAATCGCAGTTAAAGCTTCAACTTCTAGTCTCAATGTGGATGTCGTTAGGTGCTCGGACATTCTGGTCTGGTTTTTTTAACAACATGGTAAAATACGTATAACACAGGAAAGTGAATATATATATATATATACCAATCATAAAGTTAAGATTCAGTAACAGATGACATAAAAGTACCATTCCGCAAAATTCTTCCTTATTTACATCTACTGTGTAAGTTTCTTAAATGGCCGAAGATTACTTCATAGACATCGGGTTCCCCAATAAAAATGTTTCACCGCAAAACAGGGTGTCTGAGATTCTTTCCTGGTGAATTCACATCCGAAAAAGGGCTCTTTAAGTCACTGAGTACCAATCTGTTAATCTGCCATTCCTAAGGCGAAACAGTTTTAAAAATACACACACACACACACACACAAGTAAACCTCACCTATACAACGGATGCGCATGCAAATTCAAATTCAGGAACAAGACTACAGTCCAAAAGTGGACGAACAACTTGAATTTGTCCCCAGAGTTTACAGCTGATAAAGAAGAAGAAGAAGAAGAAGAAGAAGAAGAAGAGAAGAAGAAGAAGAAGAAGAAGAAGAAGAAGAAGAAGAAGAACTTTTCAGATCATACAAAACAACACTCAAATCTTCTACAGTTGAGAATGCCCTTTCTTTATCACATAAATAAACAGATGGACATTTGATCAAAGTAACTTAATCTTCGTTTGAATATTCATCAAATAATTTTGACACCAGGTTAACTGCCGACACTGTCTGGATTAGTGCGTTTTCTTCTTTGATGTAGGTTTTTGTTGACATTTCAAATGTTAACGTTTTTGCCCAACTTTAAGCACGCGTCTCCAAATCAATCTGATATTATTTATAACAGAAGCCTGCTAATTATTGTTGCTCCCAGGCAAGTTATGTCACCTGATAATATTCCCAATCTTTTGAAGACAAAGACATGACCAGTTGTGACGTATTTATCTGTTTGATGTAGAACTTTACAAAGATAAGCGATCGATGGCGTCAGATTTGTGTTTGATCACGGGTTTATTATTTTGGAAAACATTTACTTTCTTGTCAACAGCACATATTTTATTACAGAGAGACACAATTTTACGGGGGTAGGGGTGTTCATACATTCTTATATTTTTTTTCAATTAAACAGATAACCCTGTTCAATCCCCACAGAAAGTAATTCCTAACGTTTGTAATACAGTGGAATTATGTATCAGATGTATTCATCCTAGAACGCGGAAGCTCGGGCAATTTAGGATTTTGCGTGACCAGGTGTGTAGATCCAGATGATGGAGGTTAACTGGGACTTCCGAATGCCTTCTACACATTCGGAGTGTATACAACTGCTAGTGATTTTCTGAAGCATGTCCAACGAGTCTGAAATGATTACTGCATGTGTGGCCGCTTGTTCTGCTATCCGTGCGAGTGCTCTGGAAGCAGCAGCTATCTCCATAAACACGCTTGACGTAGTTGTCTGGTAAGCGCCGCTATCCTCTTGTATTGTTGTTCCCATCTTCTGTGATGAACATACCCATGCTCAACTTGACCCACGCTTCACGGACGCATCTGTGTAAATGACGACGTCTTCAGGGTGTGAAAGCTGATCACTCGGCGCTCTAACCTCGGTGTCTACCTTGGCAGGTATCTGACTCCCGCGATACCTCCGTAGTGTTATGACAACCTTAGATAAATCATGGAAGTCTACCCGTGTATCTCTCCATTCTTTTGCCTCACTGATCTCTTCTGTGTCACATATTTGCTGGATTAGATTTTCTGCCTGGGCCATCCAGGAGGTGCCTCTTTTGAGGAGAATCTTATCTATCTATCTATCTATCTATCTATCTATCTATCTATCTATCTATCTATCTATCTATCTATCTATCTATCTATCTATCTATCTATCTATCTATCTATCTATCTATCTATCTATCTATCTATCTATCTATCTATCTATCTATCTATCTATCTATCTATCTATCTATCTATCTATCTATCTATCTGTCTGTCTGTCTGTCTGTCTGTCTGTCTGTCTGTCTGTCTGTCTGTCTGTCTGTCTGTCTGTCTGTCTGTCTGTCTGTCTGTCTGTCTGTCTGTCTGTCTGTCTGTCTGTCTGTCTGTCTGTCTGTCTGTCTGTCTGTCTGTCTGTCTGTCTGTCTGTCTGTCTGTCTGTCTGTCTGTCTGTCTGTCTGTCTGTCTGTCTGTCTGTCTGTCTGTCTGTCTGTCTGTCTGTCTGTCTGTCTGTCTGTCTGTCTGTCTGTCTGTCTGTCTGTCTGTCTGTCTGTCTGTCTGTCTGTCTGTCTGTCTGTCTGTCTGTCTGTGTGTATGTCTGGCTGTCTGCTTATCTGTCTGGATATTCATTCTTTCTCTCACCCGCCAGCCCATGAATCTGTCGGCCTGCCTCTCTATCTCTTGCTCTCTCATAGCTGTATAACCTTGAGTTGTCCCACTTACAGTGTTGAAACATATTTTTCTGTATTTCTGTCGTCTGTCTGTCACTTTTTCTTTTCCTCCGCGTGCCTGTCTTCTTTTTCTAGTATCGTCGTTACATTTCTTTCCTTCTTTCTTTCTTTCTTTTTTCTTTCTTTCTCTCTTTTTTCTTTCTTTCTTTCTTTCTTTTTTCTCACAAACTGTCCTTCTTTCTTTGTCTCTCTTATTTCTTTACTGTGTACGCTTTGCTTTCTTCCGTGATTTCTTATATATATATATATATATATATATATATATATATATATATATATATATATATATATGTGTGTGTGTGTGTGTGTGTGTGTGTGTGTGTGTGTGTGTGTGTTCTTGTTTTTCCCTTGTCCTCAATCTTCATTTTTTTTCAATACTGGCTTTCATTT